AGTTATGGGAGAATGCCATTTCCAGATTCCTATGACGTCCTATTGTCATTGATTCATTGGCACTGGCTTCTAATATGCTACTTTAAAAGTCGCTGTCATTGTTTTGTAATATCTTGTGTTATTTCGCACACCTCTTATAAAAAGTTGTTTGCAATACTGAATTCCAGTTGATATGTTACTGTTTCAGGACAAATTTGCTAGTAAGAATCTGTAGTCACAACTGAAACATAATATTGAAAAAAAAAAAAAGCTGGCATCCGTCATATGTCATTCAACAATTGTATGCTGCACCAGTAAAAAGGAAATGAATACATGTGTGCATGAATGAATGAATCCAACAAATGCCCCAGATTACAACTTTACTAAAACTGAATTAACAACTTCAGAATGAAGTGTTTGAAATAAGTGACTGTTTATATTCCTGGTTATGTAGTCTTTCAGATAATGGTGTGTGTGTGTGTGTGTGTGTGTGTGTGTGTGTGTGTAGTGGCTTAATACCAATGAACTGTTCTCTGTCTTCTTAAGCAGTTACTGTGTGATTTCTCCAGGGCATAGCAATTAGGAGTTCTGCTAATATACATCTGAAAATGTTTACTACAAAACAACTATTTTTCTGGCCCCAAAAGTAACAGCGAAGTGATGAACTCTATGACCTTTTTTCTCACAGACTACAATATCTCTGCACCATAGGGATATACGTATACCTAAAAAGGTATAAACTGAGCAAATCCAAGGGCATTTAACTTACTGTCTGTTGAAATGCAAGGTTAATTGCTACCAGACTTTTTAAATGGATATATAACAAAACTCTTCTGGGACCTAGCTCAATTCAGCAGCATTACAATGTTGTCTTTTGTTTTTTTGTTTTGTTTTCTTTTGTTTTGAGACAGAGTCTCACACTGTCACCCAGGCTGAAGGGCAGTGGCATGTTTTTGGCTCACTGCAACCTGTGCCTCCCAGGTTCAAGCAATTCTCCTGCCTCAGCCTCCCGACTTCTGTTTTTTAATACTCCCCCACTATGTCTAGAAACTGAATACCACCCAATGATTAACCAACTACCCAATTATCCTGAGGAATCTTTCCCATCTCAGAAACAGTAATGTAATATTGAAAAGAAAAAAGTGATGAACTGTGACTTCTTGTTCAACTCAATGGATCGTACAATCTTTAAAATCAAGCTTTCCAATGTGCAGATTAACTTTGCCTGAGACATTAAGTCAAGTTATACTGTACACAGCTTGATTACTAGATGTAATCAAAACCAGGCCTGCTGTTTCGGACTAGAATTTTCCAACCAGAATAAGCTCCATTGTTGCCTACTCTTGTTTTCCCTGGTTTTCATCTGATTTATAGGGTAGGAAAACAAATGTAAGCAAGAGAGGGCAAAGTAGGCTAAATAGGAACTTGCCAGAGATCTGGCCTCCTTTTTGTCTCACCTTCTCTATATCACAAATGTACTCCTGGGAGCAGGCGTCAATGATATGCAAATCTAATTGCAAAAGTAATAAACAGAAACAACATGGATGTTTCTCTCGCAGTTAACCCTGTTAATGTCGGACTGGAAGTTGTCTAAATGTCTAATCTCTCGTCGAATCAATAGTAACATATTTTAGGCAGAAGAAAGGGTAAGAGAGTGCATGGAAAGAGTTATGGGAGAATGCCGTTTCTAGATTCCTATGGCGTGCTCAGAAGACTTTATTAATATATGCTGCATTGAAAAGTGGCATCCTAAACAATACAGGCTAAAGAATAAGGTATTTCTTGGACCAGTGTAGACTCCAATTTCATCCATTAAATGTTTCCATCAAAATTAAGTGGCTATTGGCTTGCTCATTTGCAAAAAAAAAAAAAAAAAAAAAAAAGCAGGGTGAGGCTTGGCGTGGAGGCTCGTGCCTGTAATCCTAACACTTTGAGGTCAGGAGTTTGAGACCAGCCTGACCAATATGGAGAAACCCCGTCTCTACTAAAAATACAAAAATTAGCTGGGCATGGTGGCAGGCACCTGTAATCCCAGCTACCTGGGAGGCTAAAGCAGGAGAACAGCTTGAAACCGGGAGGCGGAGGTTGCAGTGAACCAAATTCCGCCATTGCACTCCAACCTGTGCAGCAAGAGCAAAACTGTCTCAAAAAACAAAAACAGGAAAAACAGCAGGTTGAATTTTAAAAAAACTACACCCTACCTAGTGGTAAAGTTAGGATGTTAACAGGTGATACTCATACTGTGGTCCCAGACCAGCAGCATCATCTGGGAAATTGCTAGAAATGCAAATTCAAACCCTATACTAGACCTCCAAATCAGAAATTGTGGTAACAAGCTTTCTAGGTATTTCTGATGCACACAGAAGTTAGAGAATTGGCCAGGCACGGTGGCTCATGTTTGTAATCCCAGCACTTTGGGAGTCTGAAGCAGGTGGATCATGAGGTCAGGAGATCGAAACCATCCTGGCTAACATGGTAAAATCCCATCTCTACTAAAAAATACAAAAAACAAAAAAAAATTAGCCAGCGTGGTGGCGGGTGCCTATGGTACCAGCTACTCAGGAGGCTGGGGCAGGAGAATGGCTTGAACCCCGGGGCGGCGGAGCTTACAGTGAACCGAGATGGGGCCACGGCATTCCAACCTGGGCAACAGAGCAAGACTCTGTCAAAAAAATAATAATAATAATAAAAAGAAGAAGTTAGAGAACCACACTGGATTTAAAAGTATCTCACACATTTCAGGTGAACAGGTTCTTGTTAGGGGTTAATTTTCCTAAATTTGAACCAAGTAATTTCAAGTAGTCAAGAAGAAGTAAATCCATCCAACTGTTGTTATTCCTTTTTTTATTACTTAAAATAGTTAACTGGTTTCATTATATCAAATGATTTCAAAATAATGAAGATAAAATTAATAAGAAAAAATTGTTTTTGTAATCAAAAGATGAATACCTTGGGAATCCTGAAGGTGGATCTATTTTAGAACTTCTCTACATTGACAGTACTGGTTATATGGACAGGGACATTCTTTGTTATGGAGGCTGGTCCTGAGCATTACAGGATGTTAACACCATCCCTGGTGTTTACCCACCAGATGCCAGAAGTATCCTCTTCCTACTGTTGTAAAAACTTGAATTTTTCTGTCTCCTAGAAGTCAAATTGCCCTAATGTTGAGAACCACTTAGCTAGTTGATTATTTTGATAGACTTTTTTTGTTAGCCAACTTTAAAAGAAACATCTATTACAAGGAACAACATGCAACTACTGTTAGCAAAGCACTGTGCATTGTATTAAAGATACATATTCCATATTGGCATGGAAATTTTAGTACATCAGAGCCGGTGTCGTGGCTCACTCCTGCAATCCCAGCACTTTGGGAGGTCGAGGCAGGCAGATCATGAGGTCGGCAGTTTGAGACCAGCCTGGCCAGCATGGTGAAACCCCGTCTCTACTAAAAATAAAAAAAAAAAAAAAAAAAAAAAAATTAGCCAGGCGTTGTGGCGAGTGCCTGTATTCCCAGCTACTCGGGAGGCTGAGGCAGGAGAATCTCTTGAAGCTGGGAGGTGGAGGTTGCAGTGAGCCAAGATCGCACCACTGCACTCCAGCCTGGGCAACAGAGTGAGACTCCGTCTCAAAAAAAAAAAAAAAATTTTGGTACATCAGAATTAGTTCTAAACTTGAGAGCAAGTTGTATTGGGGCCTTACTCAGCTATATTCCTCAAATGTTCCTGAGGGAATCAGTGTTTGCTGTAGTCCATGAAATTACAGCTAATAATTTTATTTGAGTCGATTTGTGTCAAATTTGACCCTAAGAAAGAGAGATAATGAGGCACTGGGGTGTCTTGGAAAAAGCAGTGATTAGCACTTACGTGGCATGGCTTATTGTTTTATCTCTATTACTAATTTGTTGCACAGTCTTAGGAAATTCACAAAATCTTTTGGATCTATTTTTTTTTCTTTGAGACAGAGTCTTGCCCTGTTGGCCAGGCTGGAGTACAATGGCACTATCTTGGCTCACTGCAACCTCCGCCTCCCGGGTTCAAGTGATTCTCCTGCCTCAGCCTCCCAAGTAGCTGGGATTACAGGCACATGCCATCACACCCAGCTAATTTTTTTTATCTTTAGTAGAGACGGGGTTTCACCATGTTGGCCAGGCTGGTCTCGAACTCCTGACCTCAGGTGATCCGCCCACCTCAGCCTCCCAAAGTACTGGCATTTACAGGCGTGAGCTACTGCGCCCGGCCTGGATCTAATTTTTGAATATGTAAACTGCCCCTGATGGGCTGTATGATTTCTATGATAACCTCAGCTTTTTATACTTTACCAGTAATAAATCTCAGTCATACTCAAGTATAACTAATATTTAGCTAATAGTTATTAAGAACCACACTAAGCACATATATTATGTCTTTAATCTTCCTTTCAATTCCAAGTGGAGCTATCACTCCGCTTGGTTTTGAAATTTTGAAAATCATTTTCAAAAATTTCAAGGTAGAGATACTGAGACCCAGTCATGTTGCGTCTATAACTTCCCAAATCCATACAGCAGTGTTGAGACATCCTGGGAAGGGCCAGGGCTCTTCCCACTACGCATGTCAGTCTTTTTGTATCAAAGCTGATCTCTGGGAGGATGCAAAATGATTATCCTAAAATGGTATGGGAGGAGAAAAAACATCAGCACAAGCTACCGCAAAATAACACGAGATTTTATTGTTCGTAGAATTAATCCAAACAAAGACAACAGAACACAGGTGTGGTATGGAGCAATTGCTAGTTTTCACGCCACAAAGTGTTTATGGAGCACTTTTAATTTGTCAAGCATTACGATAGTGCTCCAAGACGTGGAAGTTTCTAGATCTTGACCGCCCTCAAGGAGTTCAGGAGTCTGCACAGTGCACGCTTCCTGGAAGAGAACTCGGGCTGGTTTTCCACTAAGCACCGGTGAGAACACAGTCAGTGGCCTGCTGGACAGGCCCTGGGTTTGTTTTTGTTTTTCATTGTTTTTTTGTTTTTTTTTTTTTTTGCACTCCGTAGGCACCTGATGGAAAATGAAATTGCAGACAGTGAAGACCATCAGGAAGACTGCTGTATTAGGCTCCCTTGCATTCCTTAACCCCTTTCAAATGAAAACAAAGAATAAAAATTCTTAAGTTTTCTAATACACTTTTACTCACACCCTATCATCTTTGCTTCCAGAGGTAGAATTTAATCATACAGCCCCGTAACACTCGAATAGCGGCCCAGCGATCCTTGCTGGGTTTGATTAGGAGGCTGAGCTTCCGACTTTCAACTCCCTGAGGTATAGCTTATGAGAACTCGAGAAGAGGTTGTCTAGCGGGTTCTAACTCAGCTACTTTTCTCAAATGTTGCTGAGAGAACAAGTTTATCCCGATCCATGTCGTCATAGCTAATTATTTTATTCATGTTTATTCATGTAAAACTTGACCCTAGGAAGGATAGAAGCGAAGAAAAGTAGAACCCTTGGTTGAGTTCTTTATTTTTTTTATTTTTATTTTTTTTTAGACGGAGTCTTGCTCTGTCGCCCAGGCTGGAGTGCAATGACCCCATCTCGACTCACTGCAAGCTCCACCTCCCGGGTTCTCCCCGGGTTCACGCCATTCTCCTGCCTCTGCCTCCCAAGTAGCTGGAACTACAGGCGCCCACCCCCACGCCCGGCTAATTTTTGTATTTTTAGTAGAGACAGGGTTTCACCGTGTTAGCCAGGATGGTCTCCATCTCCTGACCTCGTGATCCACCCGCCTTGGCCTCCCAAAGTGCTGGGATTACAGGCGTGAGCCACTGTGCCCGGCCTAGAGTTCCTTTACTTTTAACGTCACTCACACATTGATGTGAGACATAATTGTTAGAATTGGTATTTTACGAAAATTTTTTTAAAAATGGAAGTGAAATGACTTTTTTGGGTCCAATTTATTACAGTAAATTAAGCGAATCAAAGCCGATATGCCATTTACCTGTACAGCATTCTTTCGCTATCACATCATGTTCGTCTTTCACAAAATCCATGGCTTATTTAACATGCCCCAGATTACACTTGACAATGACTTAGTCGAAAATCAGCAGGCTGTAAGGGTCCCATTCCTGCTGTTATTACTTTAACAAGAAGGACCCTGAAGGAAGAAAATAACAGATACAGGTGAGTTGCATTGGTTTTGTTTTCTTTTTCTGAACTTGAGAAAAAGCTGATTTGTCAGTGGATGTGTGCAAAAATTGTGCTGCGAAGCCGGGCTCCTGGCAGAGTGCTGGAATGGGCTCTCCGTGTTATTAGTATTCTCCATGACGGTTTGTTGTCTTCTGGGGCAATTATCTTGCTTTAATTTAGGTCACTAATGATATTATGAGATAGTTTGATGATGGTGTAATTTCTTTTGATGTTGTGTTTGTTGCTCTTGCTTGTATCAACTCATTGTGATTCCATAAAAGACTGAATTCTATACCCACTGAGGGAGGGTAGGGAGGGAAGCAGGAGGGTTTGAGAGGAGGAGGGAGGGAGCTGGGGGTGCAGCAAATGGCAAGGCCGGGTGCTGGGATCTGGCAGCCGTACTTCCGCGGTGGAGGGTTTGACCCTGTCCTGTTTTGCTTCTCTCCCAGTGTGGGGACTGAAGGCTGGGAGATCACACCACACGGCTCAGTGTCCTGTCAGGTTTGGAATTATTTCTGACAGGCTACCAAAACAATGGGTCCCTCACTCCAGCAGCTTTTACACTAGTTGAAGTCTAATTTATAAGATAGATCATCCGCTTCAGTGATCTCATCTCAACTCTTCATAAGCTACCTTATGCAGAGACCTCATTTGAGAAATACAAAGCTGGCCCAAAGCCCACCCTTTCAAAGCTCCCCACAAATGACCCCCTTGACAGGCCAACTTGGAGGCCTCTATTGATTATTGCTTAATGTAAATACTCTTCTCAGCACTCAGCTTTATTGTTTTTATTGCATATGAAACTGTGGTATTTATACGAAATGCATGCTTACTGGTGTTGTTTTAATGGAAACTAGCTCTGGAATGTGTCCATTCAGTCTACTTTCACCCTCGTTAATACTGAAGGAGGGCTGACTTTGTGTCAGAGAGATTGTTCCGGCTGTGGTGCAACCTGGGTCTCCTGCCAGGAGAGCTATTAACAGAATGGTTTTGGAAATGAAGTTCAGAATTCCCTGTGGGTTTTCTGGTTTGAGGGGAACCATCTATTTTGAGAATATCTATAAGGTAAACAAAATATTTAAAACTTCTGAAATATTATTATATAGAGAATACAATTTAGATAAAAATAGTATTTAGAAAATTCTTTTGTTAGGAAAGAGATCATGTCCTTTGCAGAAACATAAATGGAGCTGGAAACCATTATCCTCAGCAAACTAACACAGGAACAGAAAACCAAACACCTCATGTTCTCACTTATAAGTGGGAGGTGAATGATGAGAACACATGGACACATAGTGGGGAACGACACACACTGGTGTCTGGTTGGAGGGTAGGTGAAGGGAGAGCATTAGGAAGAATAGCTAATGGATGCTGGGCTTAATACGTCGGTGACAGGTTGATCTGCTCAGCAAATGACCTTGGTACATGATTGCCTATGTAACAAACCTGCACATCTTGCACATGTATCCTGGAAATTAAAATAAAAGAGAGAAATATAAAAGAAAATACTTGTATTATTTAGAGATGCTATTATTCAGAAATGGCACTCTGCAAATATTAGTTGGTCTATCTAACAACATTGAAAAGATAAAAGCTGAGTTGTTTACTTACACAGTCCATCCAAGGAAACTGTCAATTTCATACCCTACACCCCAACCCAAAACTGCTTAACAGCTGTAAACAGTGCGGTTCAGGGAGGTTTCCAGCTAACGCACATTTTCCAGCTTCTCTCGGATCACAGGGGTATACTACTACTCACAAGTGGTTTAAACTCCTAGCCTAAAAACTGGCCAAGAAAGCCACTTTCTCCACAATGATGCGGAAGCCATCAGCCCCAGTGGCGACTGTTCTTGGAACCATAACAGGCCCTGAGAACTCATGTTTCTACTTCCCAAGATTAATTTGTCCACCTGCTGGGCCAAGTACACATTTAGGTAATCTGGAAAAGTGGATTGTTGTTATTTCTCTTACTGGTCTGTGGCCCATCACTGAGATGATAAAAAACGACTGTCACTTCTGTGGATTCTGTTAGAGTTCTAGCTTTTTAGTATTTATTTACTCCCTAGCTCTTAAAAGTGGTGGGAGTAGAGTTGTCAATGTTCACGATTGGTGAAGTAAATATTTTCCAAACTAGAAGTGGCAGTTTTTATTTTAAAATTCTTCTCAGCATACACTTTTTTGATAAAGGCTTGGTTTTAGATAAAAAATAAAATTTTAAAAAATTAAAATAAAAAATAAAGGAATTAGGATTATTGCCTAATATATTAACATATGAACAACATCCATAGTGAATACAATATTTTTAAACCTAGAAAATAAACATGAAAGCTGGAAACCAAGGAAGGGGCAGCAACTTACAAGTGTCAGATATTCTGCTAGGCACTGAGGTTAAGTCTCTAATGAAATTTAATATTCTATAGGTGTGGTCAGGTCAGAGAAATTAGAGCTTGCCAGTGAAAATGTGAAACCAATTGCAGAAGCACCGCACACTTTTGAAAACTGTTTACATTTAGCTGAATCACTGAATAGACCAACACGATCTATTGACTATGCAATGAGTTAACAGGCCTGGGTAACCATATGTTATCTGATTTGGGGAAATAGTACAGCAAAGTCACTTAAGATGATCTGCCTGTGGTTCAATGGAGAGAGCATTCTAACAATTTCTTTATTTTCACCTAGAAAAGCTTCTCTCATTCAAATGACTACACTAATACAAGGATAGAGATATCTAAACATTGCACTTGAACCACAGGCGAAATTTTATAGTTCTTTTATTTAAAAATCTTCTTAGGGCTGCTGGGGTTTTGTTATTATTTTAGGCACTATCAAAAATACGGATAAAAGAGAAATCTCAAGTTCTCTTTCCCTGGAACTTGTGAAGAAATGGAGGTGATGTAAAAGATTGAAACAAACAAACAAGAAAAAGATGAATACATCTTAATCTCTTGTGATTTGAGAGGGAGGCAAGATAACATGTTGAAAGCCCCACTAATCTCAGTTAGAGAAAGTTTGCTGCTCGTGAGGGCATTTTATGAATATCACTTTGTGGTTTTCCAACAGGCCATTTCACCTCTCTGAACACCAACTGTCTAGCTTTGAAAATGAATGAACTGGACTAATGAATATCTAAAGTCACTTTGAATTCTACAGTGTTATGGTTCTTTTAAAATCAGTTGCAAAGTGAAATTGAACTGAAAATATGACCTCACCACTCTCATTCATGCTGTCAATTCCCTAAGCCTTCCTATCTTTTGGAAAAGTTTTCTGTTTGCTTAATAATGTATTCCAATACTAATTGTAATACTAACAGCTTTATGTCAACAGGCGAGCCAAGCTAGGAAAAAAAAAACAAAAAAAAAAAACAAAAAAAAAACCCAGGAAGTAGACACACACAGAAGTACTCTAAACCAGCTTGGTTTTATGTAGTCTTGTTTAAAGAAAACTTCCAAATTCCAGCTGTGTACTGTTTAAATGTCTCCTTAAATGAAACTGACAGAGGGAGAATAGGATCCAATTAGCAGGAGTTTCCTTTCCTTGCATCTGATAAGTTAACATCTGTGCCTTCTGATAAAGCCACTCTATTTTTTTTTTTTAGTGGCATTTGCACTATTCATTAGTTCCCTTTTAGTACAAATAGCTGACTCCAAAAAATGCCCTGGGGCTACAAGGAATTGTTAGACAGGTGGTAGAGAGGCATCACCTGAGAAGAGAACCTCTCCAGCTATACATTTGAGTTTCCACATTAACAATATACATTCAAATGGGAAAGGAAACTTTATTAGTCACATTGAGTATTTTAATATTTCCAGTGATTCACTTAATGTAATAAGGTTATGATGATATCAATAATGATGGCAAGATTAATTATTAGTTTGCAGTTATCTGCTGCTTCCCCTTAAGGTACACAGAGTATTGAAGAAAATGCTGTTGTTGTTGTTGTTGTTGTTCTTGTTTCCTTGTGATTGTGTGTCCCTGTTCAGACAGGAATACCGTCACTCCCAAATGTCAGGCCCTCAGGTTATATTTTTGTTTGCGGAATTCTCAGCCCTCCTCCAATTTTTCTGCCAATTTACCCCGTGCTCTACCATGTCAGACAATGTCCTCTGGAGCCTCCATCTGTCAGCAAGCACCTCTATCCTGTTTCTGCAAGTAATACTCCCGCCTCTTCTGTCTTAAAGGAATTCAGAAGACACCAACCAGTTCCCTTGTGGTCATCCCTTTTACTGAGAGGTTTCTGGTTCTCCAAGCCCAACACCTACTTACCATATGGACAATATGTCATGTTGGCTAAACCCTTGCCTGACAGCCTCTTCTCTTAAAGGCTTCTGCACTGCAGTGATTTCACCAGAATCAGTCCATTTTCCTCTATCTATACACAGCCTCTTTGAGAAACACAAGCCTCTTCTCATTCTGACAAGACTGTTAAGATCTTTGGTCCAGAACTTAGTGCTTGAGGTAGTTTCCTCCTTCATACCTTAAAGGTTCTGAAATAATAGTCTTAATCATCTGCCACTACCTAAGAGGGGATCCACTGCTTTTAATCAGAAGAAAACTTTTTACAGCAGGAACACTACAAGAGTCTGCAAAGACGGGTTCCAATCATGGGAAGGGTCTTTAGCAGTCACCTACCAGGGCACTGTGACATAGCACCCTTTTCTGGTCATTGCTGAACAGATAGTGATGGCCCAATATCTTCCATCCAGAGAGCACAAAAATAACAACAACAAAAAAGCTAAAAATTTATTTTTAAATTATGATGAGCTGACTTACTTATCTATATGGAGTCCAAAGCACTGTGACACCAACCATTGTGGTAGGTAGGAAATTCATTATATATTATTTGCAGCACTTCATTTGCAGTGAAAGCTTTCACTTAAATTAGCACTTATTTATTGGTCAGACAAAATACGTGGCATGATTGCTCTACCATTTGGTTGCAAGCAGAGAGACGGTATAGAGTCAGAT